TTCTATTGAATGGGCAGACTAGTTTAAATTCGGATGCAGGAGGTCCCCTGTAATTGCGCTGACTTGTCATTTCACGAACGGTGCTGTCTTTTAGAAAAGCTACCTCTCCATTATTCAACAAACAATTAAAGGCACCTTCGAAATTAGCATATTTATTGTTTCCACTGCAACGGTTACTCTTTTTACCTTCGCAGAGTTCGCACATTTTTGAGGATTGTCACCTTAAATAAAAATTAAATAAACTTAAACATAAACAAATTAATTTGTACTCACAGCAATTAAAACAGAATTTGACAACTAAGCCTCAAATCAACCCAGTATTCAATTTGGCTTTTTGAATACATTATACACATCAGACATGCCAATGTTATCTTATGGTTGGTTGTACAAAGATGTCAGACTCTGTTTTAGCTGCAAATCTCATATAATAATTAAAATTTTTGCTGACAGACACTTCACTCACCTGTTGGGTTATATTTATCGATTAAAGAATTAGGCGTGCAACTGGGACCGAAAAATTCTGCCGCAGATTTAATTATATTATTGCAATACTTTATCGGCAACACGTCCTCTTCTATTAATTTTGCCATAGGAATTATCCATCCTCCCAGCTGCCCCACCGAAGGAAAACAGACTCTTTTACCTTTTAAATCTCTCAAATAATCGAGCCGAGTAGAAATCCTTGTAACTGCAACTGCATAATATCCATCTGTTTCTTCTATAAAATTAAAAAAAATTTTTAATTGAAATATCCAATTTTAAAACAAACATATCAATTTAAACTTTTGTATTTGATTAACTTATGTTGTATATAAAATTAACACTTGTAAATGCTAATTTTAAAAAACCTAATGGACTTCAGCAATTATTATAACCATAAAAATCTACATAAAAAGTCATTATAAGAACTTAACACTGGAAAAATTGAGAATTATATAAAAATTTTTAAAATAAAGTGATATTTAATCATTAAAAATTATTATTATTATTAGTTAACAGAAAATATATCAGATACAAATAATTATGAACATTAATATTGAACATATTTTTATATCTTATAGAATTATGAAACTGTGAGTCCAAAGGTTTGAGGGCGTAAATTTTTGAGTTTTACTGTTAGATGAATTTTTTGAAGGAATTGTAAACCTCAGTCGATGAGAAAAAAAATTATTGGACGTTCTCACAGAAATAGATCAGATGTCAACTCTTAACATCAATAAGTTAGGAAGAAGGGCACGTCATCATGTGCCTGAGAATTAGTCATTGTAATGACGAACAACCAGTTGGCTTAGTGCCAACGACGATTATCTCAAAGTTCAGGATGATCATCCCAGGAAGTTCTTGGTACAAGCGTCTTCCGTCCTGGTCCTGTCCGAGAAGAAGCAGGTAGAAGACATAGTTCCAGCTTCCATATTCTAGAGTGATCATCACATACAGTCATCTGACAGCATATTGAAATATATTTGAGGGCAGAAACATTTGTAAACTCTCTCTCTCTCTCTCACTGTAGAGGTTAGGCATGCAGCATAGTGATTAGTTTGATCGTCTTTACCGATAGATTTATATGTTATCCACATTTAATCATTTAATTCTTTATGTATGCTCCTGTAAATTAGATTAGTTATATAATAAATGCCTTATTTGTTTGTTTAACCTGTGAGCCTGTCAATCATTGCTCGCACGGACACCTGTTCTCAACCCCCTCACCACTCTATAAAAAGCCATCCAGTGACACTGTGAATGGATCTCGCCAATCCAACAATTAGAGGGCGTGACTGTCCCTCGCCCGTATTCTCACAAAACCACCTTTTGAAAAAATGAACAAAGCTGTACAAATGATTAATTCATAAATCAAATTTAATCCAATACAATTCATTAATTTCAAAAGACAAGTATAAATCTTTTGTGAATATATGTATAAATTTCTCTTGAGAATTCAGACAGAATCTTAAGAATTTGAAAAAATATAACTAAAGCTATCAGGCTGGCAATGTTTCTTCATAAGAACAAATATTGCCATCTGATATCTTAGTCCTCATATCTACAAAATGTTTATCAATATTGAAAGTGATTATTGTAGTAATAATTCATTACTGTATTAATCATTTTCAAAATTAACAATTCATCCACAAGCATTTTTATAAGCTCAATTCTCAAGGACCATTTAAGGTTCTCAATGTTCTGTTCCGCTACATACTGCCAGTTTAACCAATATACCTCGCAATGATCTAATGAAAAGTTTGATTAGTGATAAAATTTGATGTTCTTCCATTGACCAAGAACAAACAGAATTGTGAGATGGCATCACATGTTCTGTATTTAATGCAAGAGCTCAATCAACTTATCTTGTACAAATGTAAAATGGAGAATATTTGAGCTACAAATGATAAACTCAACAACAAATAGAAAAAAAATGAAAAATTATGAGGTTTTATATGGAGAAAAATTGCAAATGATTTGTTTCCTGGAATAATAGATAAGAATTAAGCATATAAAATAGGCCTAATTCAAATAAGTTCACTATATCTGTTGGAGAATTCAAAAACCTATGATAGATATTGCTCGATTTAACAAATGATAAGTAGCAACTAACTTTGAATATACTGTATCTAAATTGTGGAATATGGCATGTGTAAGCAAGCATCAAATGGGACTCCATGGATTTATAATTATCAAATACACTATAAACTGTTGAACAGTAACCTCAACAAAACAGCCATGTCTAATAAAAATGGGTTATAAACCAGCCTTTATTCATTCCTCTGTATTACAAAAAATTTTGAATTAAGTGTTTTTAATTGAGAACTTGACAACAAAATAGCAGAATAATAAATGCATCATCTTTCCAAGATGTCTTTAAATGTTGAGTACGAGTCCTGGGGACCTAATCCTAATTTATAGGATGTTAAAAGTGTCACCTGATACAAACTTGTGCAGTGAAAGGTCTGATTAAATGAGTTTGTTCTAAACAACACTTACAACACATTTGTGTGTTGCTACACAGACAATTTAACACTAAGCGTCCCAGTCAAATCATCAAACTTTTACAGTAATTTTATCCAGATGTGTCAGGTCTTATTTGGCAACTAGTCTCACCAATCTACATTGGGTACAAAAACTTGGCAAACTCACAACAGGCACAAAAGCAAATAATCTTAAGCCATGTAGAAAGAGTTTAAAATGTCACTGTGACTATAGCATGCAATTTGATTATGCTCCTATTGATATAGGTTACATGCATTTCATACTGAACACTAACCTATCTTCAGTTAACAATTATTAACTTCAAAACATTTTCAGCCTTTCTAAGGCCATCCCTAATATACAATTCTCTCCAGTGCACAAGCAAAAAGACTGATTTTAAAACACCAATTGTTCCACAAGCAGAAATATTCTTCCAAAATTTAAATTCAATTTTTTAAAGGTAAATGTTTATATGGAGTGTTCCATCCAAACCTCCTTTCCAAATATGGAGAATTCAAACCTAGGGTTCGAAAAATCAGTAATATAAATGCACAAGATGACTGCAACGACCATATAAACATAGATAAAAAATAAACTCAAAAGACAAAAATAAATATAAGCAATCAACGTGTATACTTCAAAGACAGCTTTCCAAGTCATGGAAATAATTGCAATCTTTGAAGTTGATGTAGTTTGTATTTTTCTCAGAGAAATAAATTTACACCTGTTTTAAGAGCTTTAAGTCCCCTCTTTCCCTCACCAACCATATCAAAGCTGCTTCATGTAGCAGTGCCTCTATTTCCAGATCTGTTGTCAAAGTTAGCTAGATAAGTATTATGCAAGCATTTATATCAACTGCATGCACCCTTGGTTTTGTCAAGAGAGAGTGGGAAGTCACTCTAGCATATTCCATATTCATACTAAGCCTCATGTCAACTACTGATATCCTGTACATGCCCAGTATTCTAAAGGTGCATGTCTGTATATGCTAAGTATCCTAAATTTAATAAGGAAACATACTGAATAGGGAATCCCAATGGGCAGTCCATCTTTAAAAATCAAATAGTTCTATATGCAAGATATGCTGATGGTATCTTGATCATTTAGAACAGGGGTTCTCAACCTTTTTTTTACCCACGGACTCCTTTTCTTCTTAATTTTTTTTATGGACCTCCATAGATTGCACAGAAAAAACCTTATATTTTTTTGTTACATTGTTTCAAATTGGGAAAATATTTTAATACTGAAGCTCTGAATTTCAGAAAAAGTAAATCTGGTATTTATGAACTAGTACTTTTAATACCTCAAGATTAAGTTTTGCACAGAACTGAAGGTTAGGGTTAAAATAAACCAATTACCTTTATACTGGAGGGAGGCTATAAACTTTATAGCCTCCCTCCAGTATGTTTAAGATCTGGAACAAACTGATGCAAAACGTTAAGAAATGTCACTGTCGAGTGACATGATGCTGATGGTATAAGATTCTCCTAACAGACCTCAGTTTTATAATCTCTCTGATTTTTGTCAATGAGATATATATGTCGTTTACATATTCAATATTTTAAATAATTTATATTTCAACCCTTATGCAAGAAATGAGTGATAAATAAATTGACAATATATATACTGTAAAAATTTAATTTTCAGTAAAACAATTGTTCTGAAGTAGAATTACCCTATAGGCCACTAAAATATCACCATAAACCCCCAATTCAGTATTTTTTTTCTGTGGACTCCCAGTAATGTTACATGGACCCTAGTTGAGAACCCATGATTTAGAACAAGAGACACAACACTGATGAGTTCTTAAGAATGATCAACAATAACCCTTACTGATTACAGATATAAAATTAATAACCTAGAGGCATTTTTAGACATAAACATAATGAAATCAATTTACCAAAAACTGGAAAAGCCAACTCCTCCATATTCCAATGATATCCTGCAACCTACTACAATATAAAGCAGCAGCCCTCTAGATCTTAATAAGGAGTGCTTTTACTCAATGTAGAAACATTCAAGACATGCAAGGAAATATCACATATTAATTAATTAAAGAGGTTGGTACACAAATTAACGGAAACCCTAATAATTTAATTAACCAACTCACCAGTGCCTATGCCAACAATAAGAAAATAATACAAAAAAAAGAATCTAGCACAAATACAGCCATGTCCTATTGTTAAGACAAAAAATAAAGCATTACCTTTCGTTTTCTTTTATTCTCTTAATACTTAACTTTAATGAATAACAGAACTTATTTACAACATCTCAATTTGACGAAACTGACGACTAACTAGTTTACCAGTGTTGCCAGATATAAATGTACAATAATTAACAATATAAATGTACAATAATTAACACGCCTCCTTACATTTATATTGTAACACAAAAATAGTTAAATACAAGAAAAGTAACATCCAAGTTGACAGCTCTATTAATTAACAAATTATCTTAATCTCACACATCATATATTCTATTCTTTTACATTTAGCATCTCTCTATATTTAATGAATTTGACATTTCCTAATGCCTTGGTAAAAATATCAGCAATATTATTTTCTGACTCTATTTTTACAACTTCAATTTTTCTTTTTTTAACATTCTCATGCACAAAATGATAATGAACTTCAATATGTTTTGAGTTTTTTGTAAAGTTTCCATATTTAGCAATGGCTACTACACCTGAGTTGTCTTCATATACCTTAATTGGTTTACAAACTTTAATGAAAACCTCATTTATTAGACAAATTAGAAAATTTATTCCTGTTACAGCTTCTGATAATGCAATATACTCAGCAAATGTAGAAGACTTTGTTACACTATTCTGCTTTTTGGATTTCCAAAAGATTACATTTCCAAACAATCTAATTATAAATCCTGTGGTAGATTTCCTATCTAGAGTATCTCCTGCCCAGTCAGAGTCCACAAAACAATCTAAGATATCAGTATTATTGTTCTTATAATATTTTAATTTAAGGTCTTTTGTCAAATATAAGTACTTCAGGACTCGCAAAGCATATTTAAAGTGTCTCTCATCATAACAATTTTGAAATCGGCTCAGATAATTTACACTGAAAGATATATCTGTTCTAGTATCAGAGTTAATGTACAGAAGTCCACCTATCAAATTTCTATACTTTACATCCTCATTTACATTAGACTTTTCCAATTTTAAATTTATTTCCATAGGGGTCTTATACAATTTTGAATTTTCAATATTGTAACGTTTAGCTAAAGACTCAATATAAGATTTCTGACTTAAGGTTAAAACATTATTCTGTTCATAGTCATATTCAATATCAATACCAATGTAGTTTTTTACTCTACCTAAATCCTTCATTCTAAACTTATTAGATAACTTGTTTTTAATGTCAACAATAACTTGTTTATCTTTACAGCAAACCAAAAGGTCATCAACAAATAATAAAATGTAAATTGTCAAATCATTCTCCTTTTTAACATACAGGCAATAATCATNTTCTACAATAATTTCTAACAAAATTTAATGGGATATTTGTTGCAATAAATCTTCAGCAATTTTTTCAAAATTTGGTTCTCACGTTGTTAAATAGAGATTATAATTGTGTACTGACCTTGAAAGTAATGGATGCGAATTTATAACGTGCAAAACAATACATGAATCTTTCAATTTTTGTAACGAATGTAATATCTAAATTTGCTAAATATCAGTAATGCGTGCATGCAGTGACACAAATTGCACGGTGGTGGTACGATCCAGGCCTCATTATTCCTAATGCCAGTAGTCCAGTAAAAACACAAAAAGCCCCAATCTTATTGAGCAATAATTATAGAATAGAAAAAAAAATTTCGGTTAAACCGTAATTTTACTAGACTACAGGTTCACTCAGCAGTAATGGCACAAATAGGCACGCAAATCAAGTGGATAAACAAGTTGTTTAGACCAGTGTTTCTCAACCCAAAACTCATCGTGGACTGGAAAATATCTGCTTTTTTTAAGCGGACCGGTGACAATATTATTTTTAATTGAAAAAATTCTCTGTTGTAAAAAGAACTGCAAACTACATTGAGCAATAAATATTTGCTATTTATTTACCAGTACATTAGTATACAAATCAATGTGATCGCTGCTTTTCTTTTTTGCTAGTAAAATCGTCAATACTTGGATTTAAGGTGGTAACTGCAAGGCATAAGGCGGAACTAGCACTTAAACGATTTCGTTGTTTCGATTGTATCATTGCCATTGCTGAAAACATTGATTCACATAAGTATGTTGTTCAAAAAGGTAGTAACATTCTAACTGCCTCTTCATGTAAAACTGGATATTCAGATTTAACTTTAATCCAAAACTGTGTTATGGGCATTGATTCAAACAATGTTTTTAATTCCAAGTCTGAACTTAATTCGATTAGTTTTTCCTGTTCAAAGTTGTTCAATCTGTTAGTTTGCTGATCAATAAACGGATTAATAATCCACATATTTCCTATTCGGCAACAAAGCAGGACAGGTTAAATATATATTTTTAAAGTTTTCGTAGACCGGCCAGATTAGAGTTGTGGACTAACAATTGAGAAACACGGGTTTAGACTGTTAAAAGGGAAATTGATGTTCACACTGGGATATTTTAAAGCAAGTTTTTGTCATTTCTTGTGTTAATAATTTACAGTAAATTGATTAACATACGCCATTTTATAATGAAAGTTAGATGTACCCCTTTGATTTACACTCGTACCTTTAGGAGTACATGTACCCCCGGCTGAGAACCACTGCCATACAGGATCAGGTCATAAATACTAAAAACTACAGAAAACACATACTCAAAGACACAACACTCACAAATGACGCATGCAGAAAATGTCACATCATGCCAGAAACTATACAGCACATTACATCTGGGTGCAAGCTCTTGGCACAGACAGACTATTTACATAGACACAATCAAGTAGCAAATATAATACACCAAGAGCTTGCAAAGAAACACAAATTAGTAGACATTTACGAACCATACTACATGTATATTCCACAAACAGTATTGGAAAACAACACGCACAAAATGTACTACGACAGAGCCATAATCACAGATAAAACAATTTACCACAACAGACCAGACATCACACTCATTGACAAACACAATAAAATCACATACATTATAGANTTTCCAGTTACTATAATCTGCTCCGTCAAATATTGGTATATTAATATCACTGTTCTTCGCCGCCATTACCACGTGTGCTCTTTCTTTATTTTCTTAAATTATTTAACCCTTTTCACTTCTTGTTTTTTCTTTTCAACCACTCTCTGCTACCATGTTAAGACAAAAAATAAAGCATTACCTTTCGTTTTCTTTTATTCTTTTAATACTTAACTTTAATGAATAACAGAACTTATTTACATCATCTCAATTTGACGAAACTCTGACGACTAACTAGTTTACCAGTGTTGCCAGATATAAATGTACAATAATTAACAATATAAATGTACAATAATTAACACCTATAACCCTGCCTTCAATCATCCATGTAAGGCAATAGCAAAACAGAATAAAAGTAAATTATGCTTTAAGAGGAACCAGACAATATACCAGTTGCTACACAATGAAAAGGATTCACAATGCACCTTTAGAATACCATTAGTTGTCACGGGGTTCACTATGAGTAGAGAGTTGGAGCAAATGTCATTCAAACAGAAATTTCAATGAAAATTATTCATTGTTGATAATTTTGAATTTGAACTCTTGAAATAATATAACTGACAAATGAAACAATGAAAATTTGAATACACGTTCCAGGATATCAGTTGTTTGCATTTAGTTGTGCATCTTCATAAACTTTTACTGATAATGCTATTAAAAAGGCCAAAAATGTTTTGATATTAATGTATATTGACTGAAGATAAATGTTAGTGCTACTTTGGCCACAATTTAATGGTACATAGCAAATTCTAAAAACCATAAAATTTTATTATTATTAATTTATATACATGTTGGTAGGATTGTCAAATATCTAGGTTGTATACTTTTCAGAAAAATGCATCTTTTGCCACAGCAGTTTATTTTTCTGCAGAAATTTTTTAAACTCTGTACAACTATATTGCAGTATATTTTGTGATATTAATAATTATTTATATTATTATTCATTCTGAAAACTCTATTTATAGCAATACATATAGGGATTCTAAAGAAAAAATTTTCTGAAATTTTTTGAAATAAGACATTTTTTTGGGAAATCCTGGAATATGAGAATTTTGGCATCCTTGCAAAAATTACTGGGACAACAGGGCAGGGTTCAAAATACAGAACAGTCTCATACAATATGGGACATATGGTCACTTCACTTCAAGGTAAATTTTTAAGACTAACTATTCATCCAAAAGTACTTAGATTTAATTTAATTATTGCTATAATTTAAAATATTTGGTAGCAGAGGAAAATAATCTTATCAACTTATAGCATCTTATAAATTTTAATAAAAACAAAGTATTTGCATACAAATACTTAAAGATTTGCAATATCTGCATTCAATTTTGAAACTTGTCTTTAGTCTAAATATATTTATCATTGGAGATGAGAGAATTGCTTCAATCCTAGAACATAAAAATAAAACCTTAGGATATAGAAAAATATACTTCTAATAACTGAATGTTTATTTTAGTCGTATACAGATATCCCTTGATTAATGCAGTTAATTAATCTCACGATGCTACCATGTATATCAAAATTGCATTAATCAAATAAAGTATCTATGTTGTGTAAAGACAACTGGTTAAGCCACATTAATTAAAACTTCTGCCATGTATATAAAAGAATTTCACATGTTAATGAAATTCCATGTTAAGCAAAACCACATTAAGCAATGGATACCTGTATATATGTTTTCCTGGCATTTAGATATTTTATTTGCTAGTGATGATTATAAACATCATGAATGAATCTTCTGAGATGTTGCCT